GGACCATGTGATATTTCAGTTTTTCTTTTTTAATAAATCTGCAAAAATGTCAACGATTCTGTGTTTTTCTGTCAATATGGGGTGCTGTGTGTACATTAATGAGGAAAAAAATTAACTTAAATGATTTTAGCAAATGGCTGCAATATAACAAAGAGTGAAAAATTTAAGGGGGTCTGAATACTTTCCGTACCCACTGTATATATAGATAAATACATTTATATATAAATAAATATAAAGTTATTATTTTTAAATTAAAAAAATCGTTTCATGCCAACTAGTCATAAAATTGTTAAATTATCTCATATATTTTAATACAGTGACATTGACATACATGTTATGAGGGTTTCTACATTTATTTTTAAACAAGTTTAGTTCCACAACATAATCTTGAATTGGCAGACAAAACTTTTTCAAATGCTGAAACGTTATTTCAAATGCTAAGCAATAATAATAAAAGATTATGTCAAACTACTTCAAGTAATATTTTAAAATAACTTTTTAAGGCTGTTTCATTATGATATCAACAGTTCTGTCATCCTGCCATTAAAAAACGAAACAAAATAAAATTCAGAAATGAATCAACCTTGTCATCTTAGCAGAGGCTTATTTAAGTCACTGTATACATATGAATTGTATTTTGATATATCATTACATCATTGTGTGGTTGTGTTTACCTGGAGGAAGAAATAAAGTTCCTCGTACTCCATTCTCCCTGATGTTCACCCTCTGCACGCCTGGCGCAACATACCAGCGCTCTATGGTACTGGTTGCCAGGGGTGTTTGCTGGCTGAATCCTTGAGATAGATGCCCACCATATACTGAGATGTGAATTACCATTGGTGTGAGTATATTCGTCTTACGCAGCCTTGAATAAAAGAGACAGGAATCAAAGATTAGTGGAGGAAAATTCTGAAGAAATGGATGACTTTTCCAAGACTTACAGTACATCTCACATTTAGTATTCATTTGGCAAAAAAAGGGAATTTAAACTTTGTGAGACAGACAGCATTAAGAAAAAAAAAAACATGATTTTGCCAGCCTAAGTTACCTGAGTCCAGGTCGACTTCCCGGTATGGGCCTCATGCTCCATAGCAACCCCATCTGCTCTGTGCCTTCATAGGTGCCTCCCAAACTTTCATCTTTGGCCACTAAATTTCAAAAGGATCAAATAATTTTATATGTTGGTCGAAGTAGGTTATTCATCATCATTCAAGGTAGTTTAGGTAGTTGATAAGCTGGATTACGATCTAGCCAGGCTGGGGATTTCCTTTCATTATCTCCCTACAGTAAACATAGTTATGTTATGGAATTAACCATATTTGTAGCCTATACACCACCTTCAGGAGGATTTTATTCGGTAGGGATTAACTAAATGGATCCAAGATGACAATAAAGACTTTTATACTATTACAAAAATTTCCATTTCAAATAAAAGCTGCTCTTTTGAACTTTCTATTCTGCAAAGAATCCTGAAATGTATCATGGTTTCCACAAATATTTGAGCAGCACAAATGTTTTCAATATTGACAAATGTTACTTGAGCATATTAGCATATTAGGATCATGTGACACTGAAAACTTTGGCTATGGCGTTTTAAAATAGTAAACAGTTATTTTAAATTGTAATAATATGTAATACTATTACCGTTTTACTCCATTTTTGCATTCTCTGTAAGCATAAGAGACGTCTTTCAAAAACATTTTAAAAATCTTACTGATCCCAAACTTTTGAATGGTATTGTATGTTGTTGGCAGGTCCTATATTACAGTAATAACTTTAATAACTCTAAGGGTCATGCATTAGACTGACTGTGCACCTGTCACTGTCCCGTATTCATCACTGATGTAGTGTCCAAATGCCTCCCAGAAGTCCTTGTCCTCTGATTGATGTAGAGAGTGTAGCGTCACCTTTTGATTTGGCAGTAAATTCATTATGACAATCTGAAATTTCTCGTCCACCAGTGCTCGATTGGGCTGAACAGTCAGCAGAGGACAAGTCCCACTCTCAGTGCTCACAGTCCTATACAAATTAAATAAGATTGAAAACTATATAACCAATGTCTTGTATTCTATTAAACAGCAAGATTGTGTAAGCAATTAGTATGTTTGAATAATAATAAAAAAAAAAAGTAGTGGCAGCAGTTTTGGTCAGTGTTGGGGGTAACGCATTACAAGTAACGCGAGTTTTTCAAGTAACTAGTAAAGTAACAAATTACTTTTTAATTTACAAGAGAATATCTGAGTTTCTTTTTCAAATAAGTAACGCAAGTTACTTTTTTTTCCCAATTTATTGATTGACAGCTCTCCTGTCCTCATGTTGAGAGAAATCAGAAGATGTTACTGTAGTTCTGAAATAAATATGAATATGCATTAATTCATCTCACTCACAAAAAAAAACACAGATTCAGTATTCCTCAAAATGAATAATAATAATGCAACTCAGAATATGATGCAAACCTGCAATAATTAAATGTTAAACAACACAAATATGCTTTATGTATTTATTCCCATTCTGTTAACCAGTGTCTTTGCTTCTGACCTTCGATGATCCAGTTCAACCGTACTAATAAGCACAAATTACTCCAGACAAACATTTATGTCTTTTTTTATTGCTGAAGTGTGTTGAAATTTCTTCTTCTGCATTCTACTGTACGGACGTAAATTTACATTTCCTTCAGCCTGAGGCTTATTCATTTCACTTTTGGTGTGAAAAGGCTTTTATATTTGCCAAAAATATAACTTTTTTATTTTAAAAACAAACAAACAAGCCCTGTCCAGATTTAAAAAGTAACGCAAAAGTAACGTAATGCATTACTTTCCATAAAAAGTAACTAAGTAACGTAATTAGTTACTTTTGTATGGAGTAACGCAATATTGTAATGCATTACTTTTAAAAGTAACTTTCCCCAACACTGGTTTTGGTTAGTATTTATTGGTAATTTAACCAAAGGATTAACCAATTTGACCGAATTATTCAAATCAGTTCTGATTTGATTCATTGAAAAGATCCGACTCACAAACGGTTATGAATGGTGCATGGCTGTATCCCTCAGAAGAGCGCCACAAAGAGCTAAGGTGGATGTTGGAATTTTCAGTCAATAACTACATTTATTTCGAGAATTTGGAGTTGTTCTTCAAACAACTGTTATATGGCTTCCGACGACTTGGAATACAAGGCAAGAGTCATGTCGACCACATTTATGATGTTTCTGTGGTGCTCCCCGTCCTTTTTTGAAGTAAGTTATAACATTCAGTCAACATTGACATTCATTGTCATATAATTTTCCAAGAAAGACAAAAATGGGCTTTGGGACAATGGTAAGGTGAGTAAATGATTAACATTTTGAGGGCCAATAAACGATGATGCGATAAGCGTTTGTGAAATTAACTACAACGTGGTAGGCTTATTTTCTTCCCTCCGCAATGCTATAGGCTAAGGCTATTATGCGCTAACCTGGTATTAACCACCCACTGTCTTTGTAAATAATACATTTTTTTTTTACTTTTAATAAAACTATAGTATTTGTTAACTTTTTGTAAGGGAAAAAATGTCTGTAACGTTACCTAACAGGTGCCAACATGATATAGTCCGATAAAATTAGACCCCAAGTGTTTCTTCTGGGAAGGGTTTCAGATATTAGACTGATCCAAACAGCGTCGGGACAGAAATGTCTGGAAAAACAACGAAAAAGATATAAGTCGCAGCATTATCTTTACAAAAACTTAACAACACGTTATCACAGAAAAAATCTGAATGAAACCAACAACTTAGCATGAGACATGAGCTAAAGTTGTGCTCGGTGGTGTTTAGACCCAGCCGGAAGGAAGAGAAGCGTTTAAAACTGCGAACTGTACTTTTCTGCAAACATTTTAAATCTTACCTTTAGAAAATTGATTAATAATACGAAATATAGATTGAAGAGAGATGATCTAGCTATCAGACTGTCGTAGAAATACCTGTAATAATGAATAACCTTAAGTGCAGCTCATGGGCTAATGCTGATGACGAAATGTTACCTTTGACACACTTGTTTGTGTGCTTGCAGCAGCAAAGGTCGTTTATAACTCTTTTAGAGTATACGTTTTCTGTTTCAATATTTTATGTTTTGATACCGTGTAAAAACCGTAATTTAGCATGTCATTTTGTAGGGGAGAAACATCGCAAAAACTGCAACACAAGCTCCACCACCACGGTGTGGCAATAGCCTAAAGAAAACGCGTCTATATCATTGCAGTAATCTACACATTATAAATGACAACATAACGATCGCTTGCATACCATAATAATGTCATTTCAATCCATGTGTTTTTATGTCCTAGTACAGTTTCCCTATATTTCCGTCCAGTGTTGACTCACTACATAACGCAGCTGCAGGGTTGCCAGATTGGGCGGATATCCGCTTAATCGGACGAATTTGTGGCGACTTGGATTAAAAAATAGAAATACCTGTAATAATGAATAACCTTAAGTGCAGCTCATGGGCTAATGCTGATGACGAAATGTTACCTTTGACACACTTGTTTGTGTGCTTGCAGCAGCAAAGGTCGTTTATAACTCTTTTAGAGTATACGTTTTCTGTTTCAATATTTTATGTTTTGATACCGTGTAAAAACCGTAATTTAGCATGTCATTTTGTAGGGGAGAAACATCGCAAAAACTGCAACACAAGCTCCACCACCACGGTGTGGCAATAGCCTAAAGAAAACGCGTCTATATCATTGCAGTAATCTACACATTATAAATGACAACATAACGATCGCTTGCATACCATAATAATGTCATTTCAATCCATGTTTTTTTATGTCCTAGTACAGTTTCCCTATATTTCCGTCCAGTGTTGACTCACTACATAACGCAACTGCAGGGTTGCCAGATTGGGCGGATATCCGCTTAATCGGACGAATTTGTGGCGACTTGGATTTAAAAAAAAGCCTTTAAAGGAAAACTGTTAATTGTTTAAAGGAATAGTTCTGGTTCAGTGTAGGTTAAGCTCAGCTTTGCGCCATACTTTTCTTTTAAGAAAAAGCAAAACTGTGGGTTGAGGCATTACAATGAAAGTGATCGGGTCAAATGTGTAATATTTAGTTTTACACTGAAATTATTTTTGATGGCCAATGCAGATATCTTGGAGAGCAGGGTGTATATAAAACCAATATATATGATATCACACTATTTAATTTAAAAACACATTCATAGCTGAAATGAAATATATTCCCATAATAATAAAAAAAAGTAGAAATATGAAAAAAATTAACTTTACAAAAAATAAATCTGTAAAATTAAACATTCATTTAGATTTTTTTTTAGAACTTTGTGATTCTGTAATAATTACAAATAAAAAGAATGTTAAAACTGTATGAAAGGAGGTAAACACTGTAACCAATAGTGCAGTCAGTAATCTGGTCAGTCTTTGTGCACTGGGAATTGTTTGAAGCCAATAATGGAAAATCTTAAATATCAACCTCTAATTAAAGTGATAGTTCACCCTAAAAAATGATGTTTTATTAACAAAATCCGTGAGGAGAATGTTCAGATAATCAACTAATTAAGCAAATCAACTAATTAAGCACAGTAGGGATGTAACGATATGAACATTTCTTATCACGATTATAGTGACCAAAATGATCACGGTTATCATTATTATCACGGTATTGTTCAAATGTGCTGGAGATGTTCAAAAAGTACAGACACATAAATCACTTCACCAAGTTTTATATTTAAAAATCAGCACAAAACAAATAAAATGACTTTTTGTTTGCATAATCACTAAAACGATAACATTACCAGTGATGTTCGGATTTTAAATGACAACTTGACTGACAACAGTTTAATAGCATGTTGAAATATCTAATGTAAATGTTCAAATAAAGCTTTGAAAAAGTTTCATAAAAAGCTAACCCTCACGTTTCAGCCTTTAAATAAAGAAAAGCGTTAAGTCAAAATGATAATTGATTAATAAATGATTATATGTATTTTATCTGCTCCATAAATAATTCTAGATAACTTATCTGAATTGTTTAAATGTGTAGAATCCACTTGTTTTTCATCAACTGGTCAAAATTTACAGCAGGGCATGCAAATTCGGTCCGTTTTTGTCCAGACAGAAACTGCACACAGACTGAATGTAAATATAAGT